GGTGGGTCTCGTTACAAACTCAGTTGAAGCGGCCGTTTCTACCAGCAAGAGCAGATTGTCATTAGCTTGAAGAATGACAGTGAGCCTAGGGCTCTGGCCCACGTGGACGTATGGATTGTTATTGCTAAAGTTATTTTCGTCTTTGCTTGCATTCAGCCAGCCTGCGACTATATCGCTATTATCACTATTAGACAAGCCTTTATTGCGTTCGACATAAACTAAGGAGAAAGGATTAGTAAAACAAGATCAGAATTTCGCTTACATTGTGCGGTTTATGCCGCAGCTTGATAACGTTCAAAGACTGATGATGGTGTAAAAGTCCAGAAACGCGTAAACTATGGCGTGACGTTAACAAATAGCCCCGGTACTGACTGGTGCCCAGTCTCCCGCTAACCGCTCTTCTCCTGTCTAGAATACACTTCCAGGATTACGAAGTAGCCGCTGCTGCTATTGGAGAGGAAGCAATGCGGGAATTGCTATTGCTGAGCCTTATTCACGCGGCGAAAGTAACGCTGGATTTAGCGCTCTTTTGGTTTCTGAGGCTGGTCTGCAACAGATGCCTGCATTATGATAGCACAAGAAACATAGAGACTTACAGGTGATGTTCCTTAGGCTTTAGCCGTTACTGCAGCTGGTACCGGCATTGCAGTGGCCGAAAGGTGGCACCAATGATAACTGCTTTGAAAGACAAAGAAGCAAATCTATACAGACTCTTTTTAACTGACTAGTAGAACCTAAACAACATTTACTGGCTCTTGATTTCTATAGCGAACTTCTAATACATTAAGCTCCCTATATTTCATGCAAATCTGTATTGATCGAAGATGTTGATCAAGGCGTCTGCGAGTTTAAAAATTATATGTGTATACTATAGTCTTTGTTTTTAAAGTGACAACTGATAGTAATAGTTCACTCCTGCTGCTTTTGTTTTTGCCGAAGCCTATTATTTCATAAAATACAAATCTACTGTTAATTTCGCCGTTCAGACGCCAAAGCTTTCTATACATAGTACCTTCTTTCTTCGTGAACTGTTTGTGTTTTTGCATACAATCACAGTTTCATATGTTAGCATAATCGTAGTGAGATACTGTCATTTATCAACGCCGTGCTGACAGTCAGACAAAAGAGAGGCATAAATACAGGTGCGTGCTGAATATATACACAGGTATACATGTGTGCAATTCTGTTATTGAGTTAGTAACGGTTCTACTATACGTTATTTCGCTTTAAAATGTGTTACTGTATCGGCTATCGACAGTGGCGGAGGGAGGGCAAACAAATCGAGCCGATAGGAAACGGTTGGAACTGAGGATAGATTTTCACCGATTTGATCGTTTCCATCAGCCCCTACGCTATCTCGCCATATTTCAGCTATGCACCTTATTGAACAATTTATCCATTTCTCCTATCAGTAAGCGTTCAGCGGGTGGCCGCCCGTCAGAAACTTGCCTCGTAGTGGTTGACCTATCTTGTCTAATATCGGGGCGAAATGTAGGGCAAGCTTCAGTCTCGATAACTGAGATACTGCTGTTGACGATGACAGTGGCTCGGACTTGCCAGCGGCGGCGAGGTAAATCATCGAGTTCTTCTGGCACCTATTTGATTTTGCTTTGTTAATACCGCTATTTGACATACGTGACAAAAAGGGGACATTGGCAAGATTTTCTCTTTGATGACGGTAACCTAAATATACTCTTGAAAACTATGAACACCATAAACGATTTACTGAGTCCGACAAGAAATCGTACTTTCAGCCTGTAACTTCCTTGACACTTCTGAAAATTCTATATATCGAGAGCGCTGAGGTGTCCTGCGGTCGCTGTACTTCCTATTGCTTCCATAGCATATATTGTATAGATGTTTTTCGACTATAACATTGACAAAGTCAAGCGTCACCATGCTTGATTTTAAAGCTTGCACGAACCATTTTTCAAGTTAGCAGCCTAACTTAAAATTTCAAACAGGAATCGTTATAAGCCATGGTGTCGGAGGTATCGTATGCCACCGACACAAACAGGTCACAAATGTTTGCCTATGTTTTAAAAAGGCAATTTTGTAAATACTCATTTCATGAATGTACTCACTGCAATCAAAAAATTTAGAACGAATCTGTATGAGCTTCTGGATTCAACCTGCAAGCAAAATCATTCGAATGTGTAAATTGCGCACGTTATGAAGAAACACCTTTTTTCGTTAATGGCTATATATGCAAGCGACAGTCCAGTACATTTCTCAGACTATTATGTGTTGTACATTTTATTTTAAATTACTTCAAACATTCTGTTGTAAACGCATGTTCGGCATGAGCGGAAGGGGACATAAACCAGCTCTCCCTGAACCCCTCAAGCAGAGGCCGCCCAAGCCATCGTGCCCACGCCTCTGCCGTATTGACGCGTAATTTTGTCGATAATAATGGAGATCATTATCACCTTTATAATAATAATAATAACAATAATAGAGTTTCCTTTCTATAATATTTTACGCTCACAATAGTATAGCTCTTCTAGTTCTCATACAGCCTCACTTTTGCTGCCGGCTGGTAGCTTGCATTGGCTAGCGCATACTCTACTGATGACAAGGTACGATTTGTATCAATAGTTGTCAGTCGTTCGTTTTACAACATTCAAGCATACTGTCTTACGTAACCTAGGTGAGATCACTAGTATTTTTGTTGCTAGCCATACCTCACTTAGGTTAAATTAGCCGCCCACACTCCCAGGCATATTGCGTGTATGTAAATCACACGAATTATTGTCTATTTCTAATGCATCTGCCCGTGTCGAGACCAAATGGTCAGCCGCCCGAACTCTTTGATCGGCTGCTTCGCGGTGTCAATGCGGAAGATTGAACCCGGACAGATGGCTAAAACAATAAGGAAGAAGGACCAAATGATAGGCCTACGCAGTGAACTGGTGAACGTAGCGGTCGAACTGACTGTCACGGCCGTCTTGCTTGTGTGCTAAGGAGTTATTTTCCATAAGCCCCCGCTATCGCAGGGAACAGAAAGAGGGAGAGCGTAAAAAAAAAACTATGACATAGCAACTATGCCCCCGTAACTAAGACCTATCTGCATCTAGGTCTCAGCCTCATCGATCGATAGGTCGCATAAGTGGGGGGTAGACAATGTACAGATGCGACGAATGTCGCCACATGCAATATAGCAAACGCGGCTTGGCTGGTGTGACCTACACTCTCATATATACGTTTCAAAACAAAACTTATCGAGGACTGACGAAAGCAGGGGTCCGAAACTTGTTTGAAAGCTAGAAACTACGATCACGCTGCTATTTGCCTTGTGCTGAATCCAGGTTGATCGGAATGGAATTAGCATAGTTAAATAGTGGCAGTATTTTTGGCGGAGGAAAGTGTGCAGGTCTATAATTCAGCCCAGGGCAACTAGTTGTGATGAAGATGAATAGTACGCTTATATGTATACCCTGTACGAGTTGATTATTGCGATATGGAAACAGCAGAATTGTATTAAAAAGGTCGAATGATTCGAGACTCCATGAACCGCTTTTATGAAAGGGTTCAAGGCGCATAGCCTTTAACTGTTCTATACGAAAAAAAAAAGCGCAAAATACACAGTCTTTTTAGCCACACGGATTTTTTCAGATTCTATATTGTGCTGGGTTCGTAATAGAGGGCGCTACTAAGCTTGCTAACAAACTCGTTCTTGTAACGAATGTATGAGCTGTAGAATAACTTCGAAAAAAAAAAATTAAATTAATAATAAATCTGTTATGTGATGTTATAGCACCATTAATCAGCCAAATAATCTCATGCATCAATCTTAATCACAATGCTTTAATGTAGTAAATACGAACCGTTAGCTTTTTTGCCAGCAGCTGTTAAAACAATCGCCATTGGATTTTATATAAGTTATTACCAGAAATGAATAATAGCATTTACGTTTACGCAAGTAAAAAATGTAAAACATGTGTGATTTTTATCTTATTTGAATGTTACATTGACGCTTTAAACGGCTATACTTCGACGATGACTGCAAAATGGCGTAAGTTTATCGTAAGAGGCACGTTCCGATGTTTTATTCACACGTAGATTTTAAAGGCTCGCATAGCCAAAGCTATTCGTTGTGAATTTCATTCACAAATTCAATACTGGCCAGTGAGACCATGACCAGTCAGTACTACAGGTTGTCTATTTTCGTGGTAGCTTCCAGTTCCAGACCAAAGGTCATTGGCGAGTTCAAGGATAAGTTTAAGGCTAAATCTACATGTAATTACGCAGATAACTGCCAAATAGCGTCCTTTGTTTTCCACTTCATCCTTTTGCGTAGTCTGCCTTCACTCATCATTACCTTGTCAGCTTGGAAAACAAACAAATACCTAGGGTCGCATTGATATTGACGTGATGTTAATACGCTGTGTCGAAATATATTGTGAGAGCCCTTTTCCCCCCGCCACTTTTATATTTTATTTGATCAATATTATTTGTATGTAACGTTCAGCTTTGGAACAAGGTTAGTATATACAATATGGGAGGTCTTAGCTCGTTCAGTTAATTCAATAGAGCTTCAAGAACGAACGATAGTTATTTTATGTAGTTTTATGTTTAACAAAGCTCTTCTCATGGTACCCTAGGTAATGCCTCCGATGTAACAGATAGGTATATCAAATAGACATTGTTTACCTTCAATTTGCAAAGGAAAAGCCTGTTTGTGCAGTAATAACATTTTCATTCGAAGATACCATGGAAAGCTTCTATTTTAATATAAATGCCTTGGCCTTCTTCTAGTTATTTTATCGGAATCAACCTGATTTACGCTTCACCATCCAATAACTAGGGCTATTTAAGGCATGGCTCGTCAGAACTTTTTATATAATTGGCAGGACACAAATCCAATCGGTCACTATAGAGTTAGTTACGTATGCCACATGCCATCCAATCCAGATTAAGTTAAAATTTTTTTCATAGCGCATTCATTAAATAAGTTCTTAGTATTTGCTCATAAATAAACAGGTTTTGTCATCTTTCAGGTGGACCGCATCATTTTCTGCCTGTTTCTTCCTGTTGATGTGAAAGCCTATAAGGATCTTTTAAACACGTATTTTCCACTTGCCGAGTAAGGCCGTATCAGTGTTCTAGCGCGTCGTATCAGTCAGCTATCGAACACACTGATGATCGTTGTATTTCGATCTGGCCGGAGAGAATTCGCCAGAATGCACGGTATCCGGGGAGGCTCGATCCAAGCTCTATTTTAATGAAAAAGATTTCGAATATTATTAGTATTTTTCAAAATATTTAAAAAAAGTGCATTCTAGTGGTAATCTGAAGTTAATCGTTATCAGAGAAATACGGAGAAAAGTAATAAAGGCATGTTATGAATGAACAGATACAGTGATTTTGATGTATGTTATGATCCGATGAGGACGCCCAACGAACCAGTGTCCCGTAGCAACACATTTTACAGCCATAATTTCTCTAACGCGTACGCATTACGATTGGAACTCGTCACAAGTAGTAGGAGCCCTACTGTTGCTATGCCTTAACAAATGTCTATCTACACACAATAGTAGTTACTTATCTTGATCCGGGTTACCCAATGGAGGAAAAAAGCTACTGACTAAGCATTTTCTGCCAAAGGTTTATTTTGAGTAACTCTTCTAGTGGTAAATAACAACAACTGCGTACTTTTTGTCTAGTGTAGGTCTGATGCGGCGGGGTGTCCCTAATTAACACATACCCATATATATAATGGAGATCGAAATAAAAGACAAACCATGAACGAACCTTGAATACGCCATTTGTTTTCTCTGGCACAAATATTCTAAACAAAATAGCATAGTTTATTATAACCTAGATCATAACGTCGCTCTTCGTATCGCACACTATGGCGAAACCCAGACCCGGTAACCCCCGAAAGTAAATATGTTCTTGAGGAGAGTGCTATCTCGAGAAGGTGGAAGAAAGCCGGGTGGCGAGTCGTTTCAAGCATAGTCGACTACGCTTTGACGAGTACAAGAGTGGCAGGTCAGAGTATGTGCACGGTAACATCCAAATCGCACAAACGACAGATATGAAAAAAGGAACAATGCTCGTGAGGGATGGCAGTCATTGAAAGCAGTTAGGAGAGGCCCCATGTGGTTGATAATGGCGTTTCGGATGTATTGGCTATTTTCTGACGGATGTTAGAGTTTGTCGAAAAACGACGACAAGGATGCTACTCCTGGACTCTGGAAGCTTATCTGTTACTGCAGATAAAGTAGAAGCTTGAGTCTGTTGAAAGTCAGGAGGACAGATGAAGAACCGTGCTTCTACTTTAATTGGTCGGAGCGGGAGGAAGTCATGGGAACTGCGAGAAGTAATACCGGGGAACCTAGCCCGAAGCTGTTCGTGTGTCTGAAAAAGAACTTAGAGAGAGGGTTACATCTGTTAACTCGGCCAGTATGTTGTGTATCTGCGTATTTAGTTTAGTCTTCCCTATCAAAATTGATGGGCCATGATGGCCGACAGTTGACTGACGAGCGGTTGAGGCAAGGGATACAGCCTTATGTTCAATAGTTAGAAAAACAGCACATTACGTTTTACACTGGATCTGTACATTCGAATGCTTTTACTTTATAGACGCTTGATTTTAATTATCTCCGCAGATAGGGTCACATTATTGGTAACGTAACCAAGCACATTTGCAAAAATGTCTTTTTTGGTACCGGCATCCTTTAATAATCAAATCACAGTACACAATAGTCTATAATATTGGGGCCGATGCTAGTAGCAAAACTGCCTATGAAAACAATAACAATTATTATTATTTTTCAAATCATCGCTCGAACCGTCTAATCTGTGCCTTGATGGCGATAATCTAGGTATTTATCACGTGTGATATTTTAAATAAATACCAGTGTATAAACGGATAAGAGCATCACTGTTCTTTATCATTCATGTAATCATTCTGGAAATCTCAGATGGAATGATGGGAAGGAACTACTCTTGGCTGGTGCGCCACCAGCTTTAGTTACTAAGCACAGCTATATGGAACTTTTAGCCGTTCTTCGAGCATGTAAACTGCTTCAGTTATGTGGGTATGAGGGTGCCTCCACCGTTAGCTAGTGTACCTTTCCAGTGCTTTTGTATGCCCGATAATGCTATCGAAGAACGCCGATGAATCTAAGTGAGGTTACAATATAATTTACACCTAACCTTCTGCTCAGGGCTGAGAACCGCTTCCCGCCTGGATGGCTTCGCTGAGTTTTGTTGCTTATCAGGCCGCCTTATGCTTATCCACGCGATGTTACTGCTGTAAAAATAAGTACACTACAGTTCCTTTCAGCTGCAAACGCGTCCCTCGATAATTCTTCCGCCGCCTCTCGCTGCGACAGGCGCGAAAATTAAACAACCGGTAGACGCCAATCGGTGAGCAACTTTAGCGACGTTGACCGTTTGAATGCGTTTGATCGTTCAGCGCCTGTCGACTCGATTAGTGGCCAATAACTAACCACTCTGTGCCCAGTTACGAGCCGGTTTGCCTGTAGAGGGATGACGTAAGCACGGGGGTATTCGAAGCGAAGGTGGGGACCGCGCTTGACATCCCGTCGATGCTTGTAAGTTTGGGAATCGGCCGATGCTTAGAAAGTTAGGATAAACTAGACAACGCTGTGGTAAAGGACCAGTGTTATTCCTAAGAGACGTATTCTGCCCGTTCAATAACAACACCTATAACGAAACGATAACAACGAGCGAACGGAATAGCTAACGGTAAGAAAAGGCAGAGTGAATGCAAAAGAAGGGACGCATGCATATGAGAAAATAGTGAATCGCTGCCAAGTAGAGATGGTTGGCCCCTGCTAGCTTTACGTAGGTTCAGAGTCTGCTTACAAAACAAACAAAAACCGTGCAGTAGGCCAACAGCTGTAGACTTATATAAATGAATGAGGGCTGGTGGGTGTCGAAATGCGTGACAAGAGTTCGACGGTGGGAGCGGTGACCAGACCCTTCACATAAATATAGAGAGCAGTACTGTCAGCACCCCACCGCACCCGCAGCAATCCCTAGACGAAGATACAAGACCCATTTAGGATAAAAAGGAATGAAACATACTACAATAAGCTTCTCTTCGTTTGCTTTCGGTTATGCCTAGAGATGACGTTCTAGGTAGCTTACATTTGAAATGGCATGATCGAAACGCCGCCAGGTTCGCCCCAAAGTTTTACTTATCGACTTGGTGGCTTGTGCAGCTGGGTCGCTGGCTGGAAAAGCAGAAGTGCTGATTCAACCATCGCCGTATACCATGCTTCAATACACCTTTTGTGAGGAACAATGAAAAATGTATTTTTCATATTAGATTTATTTAACCTCGTTGTGTTTCTTTATAATTGTCAGTATGGTGCCGGAGTTTTCTATATTTCTCTAGCTAGTGTAATTCCTAGTTCTTTCCGCAGACTACGTCGCCCTTTACTCTCTGAGCTGACTTTGAAGAAGCTCTATTAAAAGCTGCTGTATTTAGACAATAAAAAGAACAGGACGCATCGGGATCAGATAGGTGAAATATGAGCAGAAAAGAAATGTAGATAAAGATGGCTTCCTTGCTATACGTCGCCTCTGTGGTGGATGGCGCTCTGTGACGATTGGGCTGATAGTAATTGTCGAGCTCCCAGAGACGCTCCTTTCTTTTCGCTGCTCTCACGGACTTGAACATCTTTGACTTTCGTACATCTAAGGTAAACGCTATTGCCGTGTTCAACCCGTCACTGTTGTTAGATAACAACGATAAATAATAGCGTACCTTTATCGCCCCGTTTGGTTGTTTGCCCCCTTCTCTTCTTTATCTTGGACCATCAACTAGAGCGGCTTCGTTCCCACCGGAACCAAAGACATAAACGTAGATTTGGGTCAGAGCCTTCGTAACCGTAGAGAAGAAGAAAGCGGCTAACCGCCGATTGTCCGAAGTGGCAATTTTTACCCTAGTATCGCTTTAGTGGGCATTTTTTTAAAATCGTTGTTAACTTGATCCGTCGCTCAGGTGGTAAATGCTCCCAATTTAAAAATATATATTAAACTTTATTTTATCACATATGTACTGGGCTTACTTAGAGCAGACATAACGATCCCTCTAAAATTCGTTTATTATATTATGAACAGTCGACTTCCCAGTTAACTGTATTTATGGCGTCACTAATTTGCTCATCTTACGAGCCGTAAATCAACTCCGGCTAACCTCGACCGAATAATGAACATAAGTCCAGTGCGCGTGAAAAGCATCAACTTTTATGTTCATTTACCAGCCATAAATGATGGGAACAGTTTACCATGAATATACGAGGTAAATAGGTCTGGTTGTTAATTGAAGTATATAGTCGACCATACCTTCGAACGATTCGAATGTTCGAAAACCAGTCCTATAGAAGACCAAAGACAACAAGAAATATCGAACAAGAGAGACGAAGCTCGCCGTTCTGCCGGAGGTTACTTATTGCAGATACAAAAAAAATTATACTTATCTCGAGTAGCCATATTTAACTTTGTTCGTTGTGTAATCAGAGCTACTGTGCACTAGGGAAGTATCAATAACTTTCATTCTCTTCGAAGAACTAGCTGTCTTAATCAAAACAACGTATCTAAGTTCCTTCACGAAAAATTGTAACTTTAAACTATACATGCCAGCGACTGACATAGTATCGATGGTGTATGATATTGCATACATATAATTCGATGTAAGTACATACTGTTCGTATATGACGCAGGCAGATTGCTGAAATAGCAACGAACTTCGACCAATAAGGCAAGAATGGTTCATGACAATTAATGTACCATCGCTAAAATGAACAGATCCATGTCCATGGCTCTCACTGAAATTCTAATGGGAAAAAAAAAAAGGTGGAACTATCTATGTACATCTTACGAAAAAGCAATTTCTACTACAACTGAACCCTTATGTGCTTGCCTTTATTAGTAGAATCAGCTCTCTTTTAATGTTTATGCTATGTAAGTTGTCATGTTTTATAGCCTTTACCCTGAAGCAGCAGGGAACAATATCTGATCGATTATAGTTTTTTTTACTTGCGCACCATTAGCTACCAGAATCGTTCGTTACAGCAGACCGTTGGCTACCTAGATAATAATTGAGTGTTATCATTTTTTTCATCATCATCATTTCATTAGTAGAAGGTATGAAGATTCATGGTTTGTCATAAAGACTAGTTGTTTATTGTTTAGCTTTTTCTAATTCGAAGTATCGAAGATTAAGTATCGAAGGTTGGTGAAAACACCCGTTATGCGACGTAGCAACAGTTCGTCACCGGTACAATAACGGTCTAAATCACGAACTGAGACGTAGGGGTGTTCCTATACTTTCGACATTTCTTGCAGCAAACAGGGATCGCGGAAAACTGAGCAAAGGGTATGGGACATATGGGCTCACTTTGAGCGAAAATATAGGATTCTTAAGTGTAAGTATAACGAAAATACTGAATATATATTTAAGTAAAGCAAAAATTAAGCCAGGATAGATGGGAAGACGTGAGAAGAGACACTTCCTGCAATAAAGAAAAAATTCCCGAATGAACACCGTCGCCTCAGAGCAGAGTCAGTCTGTGCTAGCCACCACAAAGGGATCAGATGGCATCGAAGGATAGTTCGTGTGATTTAAGTGGCGGTGTCAACTATATTTGGAGCTATATA